TATTGGAAAAAAGGTCCTTGAACTCGTAGAGGACTTAGAAATTAAATCAAAAATAATTGGTTTTACTGGGAATAACACATTAAATAACCAAAATTGTTATAATTTTCTTTAGAAAGCCATAAGTTCCTTCTTCATGTTCGTTCATTGTCTGTTATATATCATTAATCAAGTAGCTGAAGAGTTTCAAAAAAATTACTATGACCAAATTAATAAAGCCTATAATTTGTATAACAAATTAATATTATAACCTTCATTCATGACGGAATTAGAAAGAATTTCTGTTATATTAAATTATTCATTAACTTATCCCAAAATTAATAAAAAAGGGTGGCATTTCACTTATTTAATACTTGAATAGTTTATTCAAGTTCGTATAATTACCGATAAACTAGCTCATTCTCGTCCAGATATCAAAAAAATTTATTTCAACCTTGTTGATTGGGAAATAATTAAAGAAATATTAGAAATCCTTAAGCCTTTTTATATAGCAATTTCAGTCATATCACAAAATTTACAACCTTCTCATAGAGGTATATGAACAATTATTCGCGGCCTCTTATTACATCTTAATAATTACCTTCATAATGCAACAGCAGAGGAAATAAGGGATGCGCTAAAAGAGCATTTTTACTACCTTATAAAATCTTCCGCTATACCTGTTCTACTCGATTCATCAACAAAGTTCGATACTTTTGACGATGAAAGTGATCAAAGATTAGCTACTGCTAAAATACGTGTGACCTCTTCACAATATGAACTAAACCAGCCAGATGTAGTACCTCAAATTGAAGATCCTCTAAATTTTTTTTGTCAAATGTTGGCTTGCAAAAAAGATAAAAATGAGCTAGTAAATAAGTTAGACATATACCTTGCTTTACCTAGTGAGCCGGGGATCAATATGCTCATGTGGTGGAAAAATAACGCTTACCAGTACCCAATCTTAGCACTTATGGTGGCAGACTTTTTTTCCCTACAAACTACTAGCATTCCCTCTGAGAATGCATTGTCCGCGGCAAAGAAAATTATTAAGCCTACAAGAAACTGCCCACTAAACCAAACAGTCAAAGCTTCGTTGTTTTTAAAAAATTGGTTAGAAGCGGGAATTTTAGAATAGACAAAAATTTTATTATATGATAGTAATAATCTATATTTTTTAAATAAAGTTATCTGTTATCGTTATCATTATCTTTATGGTCCCCATGATATCTAATATTGCATGTGACTATTAGAACTCGGTTCCAAGTCTGACTCGGAACCGAGTCTAAATTAAGACTCGACTCATGGAGTCGAGTCGAACCGAACCGAACTTTTAACATCCCTAATGATGATAGACGATAATCCTTACCAAAAAAAAAAATACGTAGCACAAATTTGAGAGAGGCGAAGCTAGTTTCGCGAAACTAAAAATTTTACAGAGCAATTATTAAAAAATTTTTCATTCGGAACTCCTCTTTACTATTTAAGGTATACAAAGTTTTCGTGCTTTTACTTATTAAATTTTTGATTTCACATTTTTTTAACACAAGATCTTTGAACTAAACCCGTCATAAGTCTTAAACTGTAAGTTTTTTCCGTCTTTTCCCACCTGAAGGAACTATAAACCCAGTAATTGTAGACAAGGAAAATTTCAGATTATTGCTTATCGCAAATCTTAACATGTGGATTCTCACGATATTGTAATATTATCGATTATGTATTATCGATAAATGTTACGACAAGAGTATAATAAAAATATATACCATTGTGCACCTCGCTTTTTATTACTAAATTAAAACTGAAGTGTATGATACCTTGTAAATTATTACGTAAATTAATCTGATCCCGATAACACAACCAATTTGTTATCACTGATGATATGGTAATTAATTTGATCTCATAACTGATTATTGTCATACCATATTAATTTTTGACTAATATTAATTGTCCGAAGAACATTACGGGTAGAGACAAAGCAGATTTTGTGTGTGTGTCCGCAAATTACGGATTTTGATTAGTTGTTTAAAATGTAGATCGTTTTTATAAATTTTAATTGGTTTATCGAAATAAATAAAATCCAATCCTTCGGACTATCAATAGTTTCTATTATTCTTGGTTATTACTAGTGGTAGTGATTTGAACCGGATAACTGGTTGAGTAAATTCTTAATCGGTTGACCTGTACAACCGGTAATCGGTTGGAATGATCGATATGGTATGTAAATGACATCAGGAATGAGCAAAGATTCCAAAAAAAAAATAAATGATCTGTTTAGCCAATTAAATTACAGGATCATGTGTGACATAAAGATCAGTTTTGTGTAACAAAACAATAAATTTTTATTAAATAAGGCACTACCCTAACCAATCATTGTCTTTGTTTACTTTCGAAAATTATAAAAATTCAAAAATTACAATATTTTATCTTCACTTTTTTTTCGATCTTTCCGTTTACCGACTTTGGATCTTGACTCTCACACGGGTGAGATCACAGAAGACTACTCCTTCGGCATTACGACTTCGAAAACTTCTTCGAGGAACTCGTCTCGGCCAAACGATTCCGTCGTGAAGGAAGAAAACTGGGACTAAACCACGTTGAATCTCAAGACCCTTCGTCGAAACGTCAAGATCGAGAAGAACAACTACTTCTCGTTTTCTACCCCCAAAAACGATAGGAAAGTGTTCTGGTTCCTTTTACAATTCGCTTTTCTTCGTCCTTTATTTATTTTTTTGTGAAAAAACAACTTATGCACCTTCTCAATTTATAGATCAAACTATAGTTGTTAGGCGAAACTATGTGATGCTATTCATCGCATAGCCACATGTTAATAACACCAATATTATTAACATGTGGCTATGTGATTATTAATATCACATAGTTTCGCCTAACAACTATAGATCAAACCGAAAAGAAAAGACGCGTTGGGAAGTATTTTTTACATTTTTTCATCGTTGTTATTTTAATTTGTTTTTTTTTTCTCAAACAAGAGACATTAACAATTTTTTCTTCACAGAAAATTCGTCGTGTGCGGGAGTCGACGTTTATTTTGGAGTTTTTTTGAACAAGAAGAAAAGAAACGTAATTTTTTTTTTTTTTATACTTCTATTAGTGTTATTTTGTTTTCGAATAGACTCAACTTTTTTTTTTTTTTAAGGAATAAATTCGTCGTATGCGGGTGTCGTCGTTTTACGGAGTTTTTTTTTTTTTTTTTATTCTTTATTTATTTTTTATTTTGTGGTCTTTGTTGTTGTAGTTTCTCTCTTTGGGTCCTTGTTCTCTCGATCGATGGGTTCACGTTCGTTTCGCCGGAGGTTAGTCCTTTCTTTGATTACCTTGTGAGTTCGCGTCTCACGAAAAAGGACGAAGTAGGAGATATGTTCCTTGAGGTCGAGGAACCTGGATCATTCTAGTTTAGGGATAGGTTCGGTCACAATTATTTATAGGCAATTTTCTAGCTACTGAGGTGATTTTTTACTTTTGAGCTTTTAATTAAAGTTGTTCAGAATTAAATTCTATTATCTCATCTTATAAGTGAAAAGAACGATACTTTCTCTGGAACTCGGAATTTCAAAATATGTTAATACCAGCTGGTTATTAATAACTGGTTATTAATAACCGGTGACGACGTTACAAATTTTGAAATCCCGAATTCCGAATTTCAGAGAAAGTATCGTTCTTTTCACTTATAAGATAAGATGATCAAAATTTAACTCTGAACAACTTTAATTAAAAGCTCAAAATTCTAGTTACTGAGGTGATTTTTTACTTTTGAGCTTTTAATTAAAGTTGTTCAGAATTAAATTCTGAATATCTTATCTTATAAGTAAAAAGAACGATACTTTTTCTGGAACTCGAAATTTCAAAATATGTTAATACTAACTGGTTATTAATAACCGGTGATGACGTTACAAATTTTGAAATTCCGAATTCCAGAGAAAGTATCGTGAAAAGAACGATACTTTTTCTGGAATTCGGAACTCGGAATTTCAAAATATGTTAATACCAGCTGGTTATTAATAACTGGTTATTAATAACCGGTGATGACGTTACAAATTTTGAAATCCCGAATTCCGAATTCCAGAGAAAGTATCGTTCTTTTCACTTATAAGATGAGATGATCAGAATTTAACTCTGAACAACTTTAATTAAAAGCTCAAAAGTAAAAAATTATCTTAGTAGTTAGCAAATTGGCTATGAATAATTGTGACTGTTCGTGACTGTACTAATTTGTTAAAGGACGTAACAATAAATGAGGTTGGTTACGACTCCTATGTGCGAGGTCGGGGCACTTAGGTA